CCAGTCCATCTCATCTCTCCAATGCCTAATATGTCAATATTTATGCGTTCCATTTCTTTCTTAACAATTTCTAATTTTCCTACATTCATGGCTCTCACATTCCATGTTCCAATCACTAAGGTCTGCTTACATCTGTTCCTCCTCCTTTGTATTTCCATACTTGATAGTTCTACCTAGGTTGCCCTTTCTGTTAGTCTGCATGTGTTCTGTTGTGCATAGGGTTTTCAGAGGCCTGCCATTTCAGAAGTGGGTGGCTAATCCTTCTTCCTAGTCTGTCTTAATCTGAATGTTCAGATTTAGAGGAGTATCTGACAGACAAGCAATTTGTCTGGTGAACTATCAGGTGAACATAGCAGGCGTATTCCAAGGCAAGTTTGGCTCAGTTAGAATGTCAGCAGGTAGAGAAAGTCTGCCGCTTAAAAATGTGCTCTCTCTCTGTTTGGAAATCGCAGCCTTCCCTTGGACACATGAGCGGAACTGGCAGCTCTGGTGACCTAATTGCTAGGGAGTTGCACTGCTGACCCAAAGGTGGCACCTCTCTGGTGGTTCAGACCCACCACTGACCTTGTAGGAGAAAGATGGGTGGTTTCCTCCCATGCAGTGTACAGCCTCTGAAAAGCCACTGGAGGGTCAGCTATGAGTCACTTCTGACTCCATGGTGGTGAGGTGAAGTGCGTTGTACTGAAAATGTCGAGAGCAGGCTTAACTAGCTGAGCTCTGCCAAGTTGATTTGAATGGACAGTGAGGTCCTAGTCAGTAATGTTGTCAAGTTCCTCAAGGGCTACTCTTACATATAACACTTATCATTCTGATATTTAAAAGTACACTGGTGAGTTAGTGGTAAGAAGTTGACTTACCAACACAAAGATAATGTGCTTTGAATCTACCAGCCACTTCCTGGGAGAAAGATTAGCATTTAGTTCCCTTGAAGTTTACTGCCTCTGAAACCCCGCTAGGGGGCGGGGAGGTCACCTGTGTGTCAGTTCCGACTTGATAGTACACAACAACAACAGTATATGTGGTATGGTAAAGATGAGAGGACATGTGTGATTTACACCAAACACATGGTGTTGGCAGAGCTTTATTCTGTCCTCTGGTGTTCACCAAGCAGCTCATACAGCAGGACTGCTGTTGGTTCTGGCTGTAGAGTTGACCTGAAGAGCACAGCCCCATCCACGGATCTTCCTCTCCAGAGGGAGAGCAACAGCCAAGTCTGCAGCGAGCAAGTCTCCTTGTGGAAACAACTTAGTGAAGCTTGTTCACAGAGGTCTTTTCAGCCAGTTTAGCTTAGCTCAGGAAGTGAAGGAAGGCTGCTCTTTCCGCTGGCTCCATGGCCTCCAGGGTCACCTGCAGCCCTCTTCTTCCCATATTGAAAATAGACAGCATCACTGTGCCTACCTCGGGATGGCATGACAATAAATACAGTTACCACCCACTTGAGGTTTTTCTGAGGCCAAGTGTCCTGTTTGTTCTTCCTTGATGTGCGGATTTCCTCATTTGAATCTCCAACCATGAGGACTTCCAGCAGGAGACAAGCCTGGGAAAAAAGGGAGAGGGCATTAGACTGAATACTTTATGGACCCAATTTGGAGCTCAGGGATAAAGGTTACAAGCTGTCACTGAGTGTGGAGTTCACAGCCCTCGCGCACGCAGTCACCGCGCTCTGGAAAGTGTCTTTCTCCTTTGAGAAAATGCTCCGTAAGCGCATGGTGACAGAAGTCAGGAAAGTAGTACCTTTCAGTTTACTGGAATTTGCTCAGACTTACTTTCAAAATGACCTTTCCTATTTTTTTGGATGGTTTCTTTAATTTAAAAATTTTCCCCCCCTCAGAATGAAGTTGGACTACTGGAGTTCTTCCAAAGTGTGATAAAAGAAACTAGGGCAGAGCCAAAATTGGTGACGAGTTGGGTCCTCAACACTTTGCTGGGCTATTTAAAGCAACACAGCTTGGCTGTCAGTGAGAGGTGAGTGAGGGCTGGGGATTTCATTTTTCCTTTATGATAAACTCTGTGTCCAGAGGCAGCCAAAATAGGGCAGAACCAATTTTTTTTTCTCCCTGCATCTCCCCAACGGTATCCTAGCAAGGAGACAGACATCCCCTGGGAATTTCAGATTAAAAAAATTGCCCTCCATCCCATTTGAAAATAGTTATTCACCCCTCTTGACTATACATTCTCTGTCCTTTATGCTGTGCTGGGTTTGGGAGCTTGGAGATAACTGAGAGGAGATTGCCACCTTTTCTGGGACACAGATTGGTGAGAAAACCAGCTGCCCCTCAGCGTGACCACATTATGCTGGAGATGTTACAGGGATTGTGGGTGATCATGAAGGGATCTGAGCTGAAGCTGAGGAAACTGAACAAGGTCTCCTTCAAAGGGCAATGTGGAAGTTCAAGAACAGGCAGATGCTGCCAGCTCAGAGACAAGCAGGTCTGGTAAACTTCGAAACCACGTGGTAGTGAGGAGAAGTGGCACGAAAACTGGACAGGTGAAAAGGGTCCTGGGAGAGCTTTGTAGGCTTTTGCCTACACCAGTTCTTAAACATCATACACGGTAGACTCACTCCTGTTTGCTCTGAGGAATGGAATGGAAGGACAGCCTAGACACAAGGGCACCAGTGGGGACTTGCAGAAGTGATGAAAGGTGGCTCTCACTGCTTCTTCAGCCTGGACCAGGGTTAAAGAGAAGAAGACCAAGCGGTGGGCTGGTATCTCACATGGACAAGCTTCCTGCTTGTGCAGTGGCGTCTAGTAGAATTCTTGTGTGAGCAATATTCTTGGGTCTAGTGGGAGACAGAAGGAATATACAGACAACAGGGCTCAATAGGATTTCTTGCTTGAGCCGTCTTCTCAGATCTACTAGTAGGAACAGAAAGATATGTTCCATCTGTAGAAAGGAGTGGAGGATGATCTTCCGCTTTGGACATGCTGAGCGTGGGCTGCCTGTGAAAACAGTACCCCCAGGGGGTGATAACCAGCGGGCAGCCAGATGTGTGGATCCGCGGTTCCCTGAAGCTCTCTGGGAGGCATGAATTTGAAAGTTCTCATGTACTCATGGTTTGGTACATGTTTATCCTGTCTCAACCCTGTACAAATCTCTCTAGTAAGTTCTGAAAAAGAAAAAAAAAACCCAAAACAGACATAGACCCACCTCTCAAAGAGCTGACAGTTTGGAAGTGGAAGCAGAAGCAGTGAGGGATGTGCTGAGAAGGGGAATAGAGATAGCTGATATGTGAGTGAAGAACGATAGAATTAGAGTCGAAGGGGTACAAGTTCTCCAGGCCTCGGGAATGACTGTGTAACCCTGAGTTCTGAGTTCTGAGTTCAAAGCCGTGGTCCAGTATGAGTGGGAGCTACAGCTCAGGGCATAGAGGTGGCTGTGATGTCCTTGAGGTAGATGAGGAAGGAAGGATGCAGCCTCCTCTGGTTGTGTAGCTGCTGAAGCTAAGATCCATGTCTTTTGACTTCAGATCAGTCTCTGAAATTCAAGATGAGGTAACAACCACTAACAGAGGTCAGATTAATGAACTTGCCTGTCAGGTGAACGTGGAACCCCTGGAATTTGCCTGAAGAACTCGTATGCACCCAAAGGGTACCCTGATCTGTACAGAGGTCTACTGATTGTTCCTAATTCAGGTGAAGAGGAAGACAAACATGCTGTTTGCATAATTGATAGAGATTGAACACAGAGCAAAAAAAGGCGTAAAAACCAAGCAGTGACAGGTCCATACTTCTACGTCGTTCAGAGACTTTAAGCCAGACTCGATGTCCCAGTCTCAGCTGAGAACAAACTGCAATTAGTGGTGGCCTAGTGGCAAGAAACTGAACTGCAATCCCAGAGGAACACGGTTCGAATCCACCAGATGCTCTGCCGGAGAAGGAGGCGCAATATCCTCCTGTACCAGTCAGATCTGATTTGACGGTACACGTACACAAAATTTAAAAAAAAAAAAAACAAAAAAAAACCCCTGCAATTAGTGAGCAGCCTCAGCCATGCAAGCTGAAGTTCCCAGGGCTGACACAGAAGTAGCAGTAGGTTCAGGACGACACCCAGTGAGAAACACGCCAGAGATCAAATTAGCAAGGGCTGGCTCTGCGAATTAGCATTCACGGTTAAGGGCTTCTTACGAGACTGGTGTTTAAAGGTTCTGATCAGAAAAGTTCTCATTGAACTTTTTCATTGTTTTGTGTGTATTGCTCAGCAGGGTTTAGTTATTGCTTTATTTTAATTAATGACTCATTTTAATTACTAAGAATGAACAGGTTGGTTTAGTAAAGAAAGTAGAAAGTGCACATTCTCAGACCAAGTGTTTGTGGTGAAATGGCAGAGGTACGGCCATCGAGCTGAGGGCTCCAGAATCTCAGATCTCTTGGGGAGAGCAGTTCCCGGAACCCCAGGGAACCAGTGAAGGGTTTTGAGCAGAAAAGGAATGTGATGGTGACGGGAAGGTGACTCGGACAGTATGACATGGAGGGCAGTATCTGGGAACAGCAGTGTCAGGGAAAGAGTGGCTGTCCTTCATCTTCTGATGGAAGGATTGCTAGGATTTCATTGTGAATTGGATGCATGTGAAGTCGTAGGTGGCCAGGGAGCTCTAGTGACACAGTCTGCAGCAAGTTAGTGCTGCGATCCAAAGGCTGCTCGCCTGTGGCAGCAGTTTGAATCCAGGAGCAGCACCTCGGCTCCCAGGGAGGAAGATGGATATCTTCAGCCTTGGACACCAATGGAGAGTCAACTAGGACTCAGAATCAGTGCCCCAGCAAGTGAATGAGTGAGAAGGGAACAGAGAAAAAAAGACAGGGATTTGAAAGCTTAGTGGCATCACCTGTTGAGAAGCAGCTGTGGGGAGATGACAGTCTAGAACAGCGATCGGTGTACTGTGGAGTGTGTGTTCTTGTACAGCTTTAAACCCATACTGAAGAACAGGTACAGAGGTCTGTGCTCAGAACACCTAAACTACCTCCCCTCTGGCTCTTTACAGAGCAGGTATGGCATGTCACTCGTTGGTTCCGAGTGTCTGAGAGAATGGCACCTCTGCGGAGGTATTTGATGAGCAGCAGGGACTAGAACTGGAAGAAGACAAGGGGCAGCCTTGATTAAAGGTGCTTCTACCTTCACCAGCCTGAGATAAGAGCGAGAAACCAAGGGAAGGATCCCTGGGGGCCGTTTTCCACAGCAGGCCTCATGAAGAAGAGGGCAGTCGGGAAGAACACCTCGTCTGGGGACTCAAAGAGAAGTGATTTTCACCAGGGTCTTCAGAAATCAAGGTGAAGAAAGATGAGGTATAATAACATGTGAGAAGAGGTTATTGTTAAGAAAATTACTTCTACTCAGATGGGGTAACAGTCACATGATAGGTGCTTACAGAAAGCAGACTTTTTTTAAAGCATGGTACTTAGGACTGACTACTGGTGACCCCATGTGGGTCAGACCATGCTCCACACAGGGTTTTCAGTGGCTGACACTTTGGTAGACCTCCAGGCCATTGTTCCTTTTCGTTACTGTTTACTCCACCCAGTGGCACAGGGCAGAGAGGGGCCGTTTTGATGCCAGATCTCTGCTGGTGAGAAATGAGGTAGCAAAATGGGCCGAGAAAAGCGACTTAAGTGCAAGGTCACTTGAAGGCCTTTTCCATGTAGAGAAGACCCTCCAGGCATTCTGGGAAGGTGGGAGACTAAAGCTACAGAGAAGAAACAAGCATTGGAGTTGGATCCATAGGCATGGAAAGCAGTGGGATTAAGACAATGGGTGGAGGGGTTGGTTTGATGGAAGAGCAGGAGACGGGGCAATGCGGAAAATTCTAGGCCTTTCCTCAGCAGATGTCCTTATGAAGTGGGATGTGTGTTAAAAAGGAGAGTGGGAGAGACCAGCGGTTACTTGGGAAGAAGGGTGCTGGGAAGGGGACACCCACAGAAGGACTGCTAGGTAGCAAGGGCAGCGTGGATGTCCAAGGCCCAGAGTCAGCTTTGTTGTTGTTGTTGTTGTTGTTGTTAGGTGCCGTCAGGTAGATTCAAAGAGACCCTATGAACAACAGATCTGAGTCCTGTGCCATCCTCATCATCTTGGATACACTTGAGTTCGTTGCTGTAGTAACGGGGTCAATCCATCTCACTGGGGTTTTCTTCTCTTTCACTGACCCTCCACCTTCCCAACCATGATATCCCTATCCAAGGAGTAGCCTCTCGTAGCATCATGTACAAAGTATGAATGACAAAGCTTCACTGCCCTTATTCCAAGGAGCACTCTAGCTTCGCCTTTTCCAAAACACATCTGTCAGTCTTTTAGCAGTCCATGGAATATTCAGTACACTTCTCCAAGACCACAACTCAAAGACAGCAATTCTTCTGTCATCCTTATTCATTGTCCAGCTCTCAGATGCTTAGCAAATAATTGAAAAGACCATGATCTAAATCAGGTGCACCTTAGTCTTCAACCTGACATCATTGCTCTTCAGTATTTTGGAGAGGTCCCTGACAACAGCTTTGCCCAAAGCTCTTGTACTCCTGACTGCTGATTCCAAGGATGTTGATAGTGGATCCAAATAAGATTAAATAATTAATAGTTTAATCCTCCTTCATCTGTCATGATATTGCCTGTTGCCCCAATGGTGAGAAACTTGGTTCTTAATATTATTGTTGTTGTTGTTATTGTGTATTGTCAAGTCAGAACCAACTCTTTTGGCCTAGTGGTAAGGTCCTTTGTTTCTTGATGTTACCATGTACCAAGGAGGCAGAGCCGACCCATAACTGACCCTCCAATGGGTTTTCAGAGACCATAAATAGCATGGGAAAGAGATTGGCCATCCTTCTCCTGCAGAGCAGCTGGTGGATTAAAACCAAGTGCCTTTGGGATTGCAGCACAGTTTCTTACCACTAAGCCACTACGTTGAGATGTAAATCAATATTGAAAGCTGTAGTCTTTAATCATCGGCAACAAATGTTTCAGGTCCTACTCACTTTCAGCAAGCAAGGTTGTATCCCTGCATAATGCAGGTTGCTGATGAGTCTTCCTCTTGTCCCAAGGCCACATTCTTAATAGAGTCTAACTTCATGAATGATTTGCTCAGCACATGTATTGAATAGGAAGGAGAAAGGATACAACCTTGATACACACCCTTCCTGATTTTAAACCAGATAGTGTTCTCTTGTTCCTTTCGGACAACAGCTTCTTGGTCCAGCAGTTTATGTTCTAATTCTCAGCAGCAGACAGGTAATTTGGGGCTATTTGACAGGTACAGGGGCAGGGTATCTGGAAGTATCAGGGTGTCTATACCCAGAATCCCAGCTGGAGACAGAGCTGTGATTCTGCAAGAACTCCAAGGGACTGGATGAATTCAGAAGGCTTCAAAGGCCTGCTTTGTCCCTCCTTTCCAGGCAGGCTGCAAGGGAGGGAGGGGAAGTGAGCATTCAGAGCTCAAAGTGCTCTGTCAGCTGCTTCTAGCACAGACCCATCCACTGTCCAGAACCCGCTGTCATCTGACAGCAGCAAACTAGTAACCTGGTCATGCTGCAGATCTGACGCTTTATTCATTGACCTGATGAAGGGGGTCTCTCAGGTCACTGACAGGCTCTGGTCTTTGTGATCCCTCTCACTGGAGTGTAACCCTGGCATATTTGGAATTAGTGCCTGTCAGGTATTAATTATTATCACATTATAATTAATACCATGTGCATACTCCTGTTGATGAGAGGAATTTAGGACCGCAGACATTATTGTCCTTGTGTGTATCAGGCATCATAGGAACAAAGAGGTGATTGGAAATCCCAAGGGTCACAGGAGACATTTTATGGTACACGTTGATGACTTAATGAGCTGACCCATATATATGGGTATCTTCAAGGTACTGTGTTTTCAGTTACTTTGATTCCCTTTCTGTCCTCCCAAGCCCCCGAGTCCTCTGTGTGGTTGCCTCACGGGGGGTGAGGACTCAGACTTTGCCTCCTCAGTGTTCACTGCACTAGCTGTCCTCCAAGGTCATTGACATTGTGTTTTCCAGCATCATAGGCCGGTCACGCACCTTGCTCTTTTAGGGGGAAAAAAAACCAGCAAAACAAAACTGACCTCTTATTACTTGAAGGTAAGGGTAGAAGGCAAGAACAAAGATATTAGTTTATCCTAGCTCTCTGCTCCTGTTCCCGTTGAGATTTAATCAGGGTGGTTCACAGATGTTCAAAATACCAATTTAATAACTCCAGACACCCTCCAAACTTAATTTCCGTTTGGAATTACCTTTTATCCATACTTCGGGATAAACAAACACTTTAAGCATGATGGGCTGCCTCGGTGTGTCAGCTGTTTTGAATGAACAACTCTAATGAGGTTTTGCCTGAACCAGAGTACAGTAAGTCAGTCCTGGTTCACTTGGACTCTTTCAATTTGGAGTGCATGGAAATTGGCACAGGGGCGAAGGTGCTTATTACTGGAGGGCTTGCTGAGAATTTAGTACTGAGTGATGGGCACCGAGGCTGACATGGCATCGAGCACTTCCGAAGCCTGCCGTTGCCCAGACACACTAGTGGGCTATTTCTAAGTTATCCCATCTATTTAAAACCAGGCCCGAATGGCCTTGGAGAGACAGGGTTTTATTTGCCTACTTTCTGTATGTATTTAGAAATAAGCAAACTATACATTTTAAGACTCTTGGCTTTTCCCTGCCCCACGCACGAATGTGAGAATTTGGTTGCCCTTTGGTTGCTCTTGGCAAATGTCTTCAATGTTGATGTTATGAGTTGTGGGCCTTCTGTGTCCAGGAATCCAGTATGTGCCCAAGGACAGGAAGGGAGCATGCAGAGAGGCCTTGTGGCAGACAGAGATGTGCTTATTCCTTATCCCCGAAAGAAAAGAAAAAATCACAGGCAGTAAAAATGTCTGCTCAAAAAAGCACTCAGAAAAGTCACTTTATTAGCTACTTTGGAGTAATTTTAAAGCTGATCTTTCATTTGAAAATAATCACTCAGTTTTGCTGTTGTGTTTTGGAGATTTTTGGGTCTGTTTTCTCGTCATAGTTCATGGATTTTGCAGCCACCTCCTTTTTTTGACTAATTAAACCGAGCAGTTGTCTGTTGTTACAACTTGTGCCAAACAGCTGTTGTTGTTGGGTGGCAAAATAAAGAATAACAACACTAGTTGCAAAAATGTGTCACACCCTAAAAATACAAAATAAATAAATAAGAGAAAATGGAGCCCACTTGGCCTATGATTTTGACTCCTAGTTGTGAATATTTAAACCTACAAAATGGTATGTTCTGGTGCTGAATAACCATAAATGGCTGTCTGACTGTTCATCATAAATGTATTTTCTGTCATTTTGGGGCCACCAGTCCTGTCACCCCCTCTGCCCTGGCGGAGCTTCTCACCCTGCTGGACAGCAAAGTGATCACGTCAGATGCAGCTAAGCAGGTACGTCCCAGCTCCTCGACATACATCTTCATGCTAAACTAAGTGAATTTCATAATGTATTAAATGCTTGTGATATTTTTATGCTGAAGGGTAGAAATATTTCATTTAGCCAGGGTATAAATCCGGTATGTGTGACTTAGGTAATTCGCTACCTGGGATAAAAAGAATGAACGTATAGCTTTGCCGTTAATGTTTCCCCTAAATGTCTGTGTAGAAGACTGGGTCGTGCAGGCTGTGGGGCTCCAGGCGCGTGTGACTTCTGTGCCCGCAAGGCTGAGGGCGGCCTCACCGCCGCTTGCCCGGCCTCCCCCTGCTCCGTCTGTGTCCCTGGCAGCCTCCCAGCCGGCAAAGGGGCTCAGGGGCTTGTTTGTCTTTGTCACATGGTTGCCTTCTGAAAGTCACTCCTCCAGCAGGGAAGGTGGTGACTCCAGTCAGACTGCCGCTCATGGCGCGGGGTCCAATTTTACACACGTGCCCACTGTGTTGGCATCATCACAGGTGGCCTCCCCTCTCCTGTCCACCTCTCCCTGACAACCTGAGGCAGCAGAGATTCCTGGGATTCGGAAAACCCTTACAAACAGGGACCCGGAAAGCTAAAGAACACGAAGGCAACTGCCTCGTCTCAGCTTCAGATGCCACAGCTGTTAGTGCCTCACCCAGAAACGTAATGTTGTTCTAACGGTGCCTTTTGCATTTAATATTTATATGTACTGACAGTGGTGGCAGGTTACAAAGTGGGACTGTGGCAAAGAAGCTGCCTTCTGACTAATTATGAGGCACCACGGAGCGTACACCAGGCTCTAGGCTGTGAAATGGAGACACGAACTCATAAAGGCTCTGTTTGCTCACCGCCGAGTGATGCTGTCAACTCTGGGGGCCTCTGCACATTTAGGAAAGCGTTTTGGCTGCCTGAACAACAGAGAAATACAAATGCTTATGACAGTGCTCAGCAGTAGAAAAAAGATTAGATAGCCCGAGGGCAGGAAAACTGTTTGTGTACACACACACACACACACACACACACACACACACGAGAGCAGGTGAGTTGTAGCATTTGAAATGAAAGAGGAAAAAGCCTTTCTCTTTCCAGCCTTCCTACTCCACTAAGTAAAACAAAACAGAAAAATACCTCATTTAAGAAACAGGACCAAGAGGAACCAAAGGAAATGAGTAAGACAGTTCTAATGGAAAGGAACAGAAGCAATGGCAGCTGGATCAGATAGAAAGTCACTTTGGGCTCTATCGCCTTCCATTGTTCGCAGGCCAAGGGGTGAATCCTGCTTCAGTGACACCGCGCAACTACCCTAAAAGCCCAGCACGTATGTACGTGTTCTGCTTAGAAGAGTCTCTTATCATTATTGCCTCAGGGCTTTATTGGGGTTTTCCTACTTTTTTGTTGTCTGATTTTTAGGAAAATACTAGGTTTTTGGAGGAAAAATAATATATACTTATTATAAAGAATTTAAATGCTACATAAGAATAAAAAGGGTCAGTGAAAGGAAGGCCCTCAGTGAGATGGGTTGCTACAGAGTCTGCCGCAGTGGGCTCAGCTGTTGGAATGATAAGGACAGAGCGGGATAGGATTCAGTTCATAGGGTCTCTAGGAGTTGCCGTGACTAAAAGTCATTTAACCAACAATGACAACTGTATGAGGCCGTGATTTTGAGTGTGTTCACAGGTTTGGCTGTCATTGCCGCAGTGTAATCCCAGGCACCACTTCTCATCATTCCATAGGAAAAACCTTGCACCCAGCGGCGGTCACTCCCCATCTCAGCCCTTCACAACCACTCATCTAAGCTTGTTCTCTCTGGACTTGCCTATTCTGGACATTTAGTAGAAATGGCATCATACAATATGTTGCATTTTGTGTCTTGACTCCTTGCATTTCACACACTTGTTTTCAAGGCTCATCTGTGTTGTTGCATGTATCAGAACATCATTGCTTTTTATTTACCAAATAACATTCCATTTCTGGAATGTATATATAACATTCGATGTGTCCATCTGTTGATGGATATTTGGATTTTTTCCACTTAGCTATTGTGACTAGTACTGTTACGAACACTCATGTACAAGTTTTTGTTGGAGCATTTTTTCCCCTTTTTCTTAGGGTCTGTACCTGAGAGTGGAGTTGCTAGGTGAATATGGTAACCGTTTCCCTTTGAGGAGCTGTCAAACTGTTTCCCAAAGCAGCTGTACCCTTTTGCAGTCCCAACAGAAATGGGAGGGCTCTGATTTCTCATCTTTCTCTCCAATACTTGTTCCTGTCTGTGTTTTTAAATTCTAATCATCCTAGTAGCGTGAACAGAGCCTTTGAAAGGTGCAAATGGCTTGAAAATGCTCCTTTCTAACAAAATGATTTTAGGTTCAAGTACACTGGGAGGAACTTCAGAAGATACCTTTTGAAGTCAAGTCAGTTCTGACTCATAAATACCCTCCATTGCGTTTCTGAGGCTGTAAATCTGTAGGGGAGAGGACAGCCCATCCTTTTCCCTCAAAGTAGCTGGTAGACTTGAATTGTCAGACTTTTGGTTAACAGCCCGACAGGTAATTCACTATGCCACCAAGTGCAAGTGGTTGAAATACTCAGTGCTAACCCAAAAGTTGTAGGTTCAAATCTACCAGGAGGCACCTTGGTGCCGTCTCTGTTTCTGAAAAATTCAGTCATTGAAAATCTAATGGAGCACTGTTTTACTTACATATGTGGAGTCACCAAGAGTCAAAATCAGCTTGAAAATTACTGGAGTTTAGTGGAGGTGAATTCAAGTATCTCATTGTGGTTTTAATTAGCATTTCCTAATGGCATACCTTTTTAACCTCTATGCAGAACAGATTATCCAAGAGGCTGGGCTCTATGAGGAGAAGTATGGCATCAGGATTGGTGGAAGATCTTATTAACAATCTGCGTTACGCAGATGACACAACCCTGATTGCTGAAACTGAGGAGGACCTGAAATGCTTGCTGCAGAGGGTCAAGGACAGCAGCCTTCAGTATGGATTGAAGCTCAATGTCAAGAAGACAAAAAGATTCTCACCACTGGACCAATTGGCAGCATCAGGATGGATGGTGAAGAGATTGAGATTGTTCACAGCTTTAGTCTGCTTGGCTTCACGGTCAACACTCTCGGCACCAGTAGCCAGGAAATGAAAAAATGTATTGTGATGGGAAAGTCTGCTGTTAGGGACCTCTCCAGGATACTGAAAAGCAATGGTGTCTCTCTGGAGACTTAAGGTGCATCTGATACAGGCCATGGTCTTTGCAATCACTTGTTATACATCGGAGAGTTGAACAGTGACTAGGAAGGATAGAAGGAGAATTGATGCCTTTGAGCTGTGGTGCTGGAGAAGAGTATTGAATGTACCATGGACTGCTAAGAAAACAAACAGATTCATCCTGGACAGGGTTAAACCAGGCTACTCCTTGGAGGCAAGTATTCTGGGGCTTTGTCTGACATACGTTGGACATGTTATAAGGAGGGACAGGTTCTTGGAGAGGGACATCATGCTTGGGAGGGTGGAGGGATGGCCCAAGAGGAGAAGACCCTCTATGAGGTGGATTGATTCAGTGACTGGGGTAATCGGGATGGGTGCGTCAGAAGCAGTGCGATTGGCACAGGATAGAGCAGGGTTTAGGGCTGTTGTACATAGGGTCGCTATGAGTCACAGTCTTGAAAGCACATAACAACAACAACAAGGCCATGGCTTGAATGAGAATGGACCTTAGTGTTTAAACTGACATCATTGCTCTTTTACTACTCTGAAGAGGTCCCTGACAACAGACTTTCTCAGTGTGTCTTTTGATTTCTTGACTGATAAGGGTGGTGATTTTGGATCCAAGCAAGAAGAAATCATTTGACAACTTCAGTGTTTTCTCCATCTATCATGCTATATTGCCTGTTGGCCCAGAGGTAATAAGGACTTTGTTTTCTTGATATTGAGATGTAATCTGTATGGAAGGCTGCAGTCCTTATCTTCTGCAGCAAACGTTTCATGTCTCCTCCTTCTCAGCAAGCAAGCTTGTATCATCTGTATAACACAAGCTGTTAATGAGTCTTCCTGTGATCCTGCTGCCACATTCCTTTCATAAAGGCCAGCTTCTTGAATGATTTCCTTGGTATACAGATTGAATCCGCATGGAGAAAGTACACAGTCCTGACGCACACCTTTCTTGATTTTAAACTATGCCTTGTTTCCTTGCTCTCTTCGGACAACAGCATCTTGGTTTAAGTATGTTTTGCATGAACACACTTAAGTGTTCTGGGATTCCCATTCCTCCCGATGTTAGCCATAATTTGTTGGAGAATAATACCAAAAATCCAATGGACTGCCAAAAGAACGAACAAGTATGTCTTGGAGAAATTTCAGCCAAGCTGCTCCTTAGAGACAGGGCTAGTGAAATTCTCTCTCACAGTTCTGGGCGTGCTGTTAGGAGGGACATGCCAGTCCTTGGAAAAGGACCTCATGCTTGGAAAGGTGGAAGGTCAGCAAAAGAGAAGAGGACCCACCTTAACTGATGGATTTGACACAGTGTCTGGAACAGTGGGCTTACGTATATCAGATGATGAGGACAGCACTGGATAGAGTAAGGTTCAGATCCATGTTCATAGTTGACTCAATAGCTCCTAACAACCAAACTAAGGATGGTGAGCACCTTTTCATAACTTGTTTCATAAAGCACTTTTAAAAAAACTGGTGTCAACTTAATTTTCCTGCCTTTTTGACAGAAGTGCCCTCCCTTTGTAAACTTTTGAGTCAAGGGGACTCTGGCACCTGGCTGATTCTTTTGGTAGTCTCAGTTACCTGATGACATAATGCTCTTCCCTTTTGAGAGCTCCTGTCCCAGAACCGCCACAGGTGGGCATTCTTAACAAAGTTCACGTGCTCACCATTTAGGAGGGTCACACTGAGGATCCATCGTACAGGCTCTGGGGAAGGGCTTTCTCTCTGTCCGTTTTGAAGGAAAAGCTGTGTCTCTCAACTTCCTTCCTTGGTGATTGCACTTTTATCTTTACCCAATTTGTGCTTGGCTGATTCTGTGCCCACTCTGTGCTTTTTATATTTCAAAAATGTTGGTCTCAAGAAACACCCTACATTGATATGTCCTAATTAGCATAACAGAGAAAATTCTATTCCCAGATGAGATGCCTGGTATGCTGCTGCTGTTGTCGGGTGTCTTGACAGGGACCCTGTGAACAACAGATCCGAACCCTGTTCTGTCCTGTGCCATCTTAAACATTTCTGACGCATTTGAACCCATTTTACTGTGTCAATCCATCTTAGCTGCAGCCTTCCTCTCTTTTGCTATCCTACAACCTTTCAAACAGTGATTACCCTAATTTAGTCAATGATAACCGAGCAGTATCGTCTCCTAGCAACATGTCCCAAGTATGAGAGACAAAGCTTTGTTATCCTTGCGTCCATGGAGCATTCTGGCTGTACCCGATCCAAGACATATCTGTTTGTTCTTGAAGTTGTCAAGTGATTTTTATCTTACTTACATTCACAGTCAACAATCCTGGTACCAGCAGTCAGTCCAAATGATCAGGAAACGTAATACATTGAGCAAGTCAATGGTCAGAGATCACTCCAAAATAATGAAAACAATGTAGTCAGTTTGAGGACTGTGGTGCACCTGATTTAAGCCACGGATTTTTCAATCACTTGCTGTGCAGCTGAAAGCTGGACAGTGAGTAAGGACAACTGAAGAATGATCCTTGGAGCTGTGGTGTTGGAGAAGAGCACCACATATTCCATGCACTGAAATGTTTAGGGATTGGGATTTACCACACAAACTTTACAGCGATACTCCTTATTCCATGGTTGGTGATTTGATGATGGAGGTGAAGAAAGATGACTGAGTAACTGGCTCCTGGGCTTGACACATATGCAGAAGGAATTGTCCTGTCCTGAGAATATTCTTAACGCCATAGAATCCCTCTTCTATGTTCTAACTTGTTAATCTCAGTTGGCCTTTCCCTATATGACTGCTCCTTATTTTTCCTCATACATCCCCCTGCACCTCCCTCAAAAGGCTTCAGCTCTGCTTGAGATTCAGACAGTACTCATCAGCATCTTTTGGAGCCTGGGAGTAACAAAGATTATGTATCATAGTGAGCACCTTCTCAGTATCTGTGGAAAAGTGTCCTAGGTTCCTCTCACAAGTTCCAGTTCTCTCCCATGAAATAGCACATAGGTTGCTATGAGTCGTGCTCGACTCAAAGGCAATCAACAACAACAGTCCCTATCTTCTGCCCTCCGCAAGCACAGGGCCGGCTTGAACATTCCAGATCCCTACACTCTAGTCACAGCTCACCTGCATGAGACCCCTGGGTGGTTTCCAGCCTGCTGACCCTTGTCAGAGCCCAGAACAGACCACTGACTCTAAGATCCGTCGAGCCTGTGTGGAACTGAGCTTCTTTATCCGTCTCTCTTTTTTTTTAACACATACTGAGGATCTGTAGAGGAGGAAGTCTTGTTTTTTTGGTGTTGGGTTTTTTTTAAAAAAGAAAAAAATTTATTATTTTGTGTGTGTGTGTGTGTGTGTGTGTGTGTGTGTGTGTGTGTGCGCGCGCCATCAAATCAGATCTGACTGGTACAGGAGATTGTCCCTCCTTCTCCAGCAGAGGATCTGGTGGATTCGTACCGCCACCTGTGGGATTGCAGTGCAGCTTCCTGTCACTAGGCCATCAGAGCTCCCTAGGAAGTCTTGTTTTAACATGTGTGTCCCTTAACCAGTTTTCTCCTGCTTTAGAGAGAAATCACCTAAAACCTTTTCATGTAGAAAATGTTACCTATCACAACAGTAAACTGTGTTACAAATGATTTCATGCCTTTTCTTGCTTCCAGCACTTTAGTTCTTTGCACTTTTGACTGTGCCCTGTCTCTCGGGGGGTGGGATGACATTGGGACCTTTGAGAACACTGACCTTTTCACAATATGTGTTTTAAACAAGGCCTCCACCTCCTCCCGCTGTCACGGCTCCCTCCACTGACTTGTTTGAACAGGTCCTTCCTCTACACTTTGACCTTCAGAGCTCTATGACAGGCAGAGGGGACAGGTTGGGGACCATGTGCTTGCCTGTGTCTTTCCTACAACGTGCTTTAAAGACAGCTTTAGGTGCACAGACAGTTGGGTTGGCAGTCCACAGGCGGGTATGTGTTCCATCCCATGGGCTACTTAATCCATGTCAGTGCTGGCTCGCTGGTGTGTGTGAGAGAGAGAGAGAGGGTGGGGAGGGAGGTGTGTGAGAGAGAGAGGGGATGGGGTGTGTATGTGTAAGAGAAAGAGGGCAGGGGTATGTGAGGGGGGCAGGGGTATGTGAGAGAGGGGGCAAGTGTGTATGTGTGTGTGAGAGGGCAGGTGTGTGTGAGAGAAGGTGGGTGTGTATGAGAGAGAAAGAGGGAGGGTGTGTGTGAGAGGGCAGGTGTGTATGTGTGTATGTGAGAGAGGGTGTGTGTGAGAGGCGGCAGGTGTTTGAGTGTGAGAGAGGGCAGGTGTGGGGGGCAGGTGTGTGAAAGAGAGAGGTGTGTGAGTGTGAGAGAGCGAACTTGGAGTCGGTGTGAGAGAGGGCGGGGGTATGGGGGTGGGGGTGTGTGTGAGCGAAGAGAGTGGGTGCGTGGGGTTCCCAGCTTGCATCTCCCTGTACTTTCAGTGGCCACTTACGCAAGCTGAGCACCAGCTCCACACTAGAAGCCTCACACCCTCTGGGTGTCAGGTGGGCAGCAGCAGGGCCTGGGAGCAGTGCTCCTGGTTGGAAAAACCACACGTGGATAGCACTCCCCGGCGTGGTGATTAAGCGCAGATGGAAGCTGAGGGCTTATGATGCACATGGGGCGTATTTGAGCATCGAGAGGCCGGGAACACTCGTGCCTCCTGACTTGTACTCTGAGGGTCCGAGGGGTCCCTTTGTGGCGTCCTCCCTGGCTTCAGCCAGGAATAAGCAGCATCTGGCACCTGGAGAGGATGCACCAAACAGGCACAGCTGGGCCTGAGCTCTAGTGGCCAGTGCACTAGTCTACATACAATCTGAGAAATTAATAAACTATTATAATCCGACTGTAGAATCAAAACCACACCAGCCACCCTGCTGCTGGGTCCTCCGATACTGCTGTAATCTCTCTGTTCTCACTCCTCCATAACCCCCACCTGTTTTCTTGGGCCACAGCTAGCTGCTCTGCATGTCAGCCCTGCTTGCCGCTGCTCACTGCATCCCACTGTTCTGGTTACGGCAGCCCAGGCAGAGCCAGCCAGCATCTGAGCATTTGAGTCCCTGCTCTTCAGGAGCCCTGGCAAAGGCCAACATCAGGTCCCCTATTCAGTGTCTGCTTGTGCCTGCATGCGCTGCAGCTGTAGAGGCCTAGAGAAATGGTCCTCAGGTGCTGGTGTGCCCTGAAGACTGCCAGGGACCAAGCTGGGTGGCAGTGGCCTGAGGATGCCCCCCTGTTGGAGCTCACACACGGGACCCATCAAGGACATGCTCACAGTGCATGTTCTGAGGAAAGTTAGTGTTTACGCTGTAGCCATGATACACAGGCCTGGTTTGATTCCGACGGGGGCATAGAAACTTTGGACCTGCCGAGGCTCAGGACCTCTCCATTTGCTTTGTTATGTCGCACGTGACTGTTGGTCCTGCAGCAGTGGCCCTGGTGGCTGCTTCTCTGCCCAGGATGGTGGTAAAGGCTGATGGCTGCAGACCCCGGAAAAGAGGTGGAGAAGGACCACAGGGGATGCCCCCAATTCCAGTTTATACTAGAACAACAGAAGTGAAGAAAACCACCATCCTAGGAATTGCCTGCCTTAAAATGGTTTTATTTTCCCAAGTTTGATCCAGTTTGAGGATTTATTGTTGTTATCATCCTTTCTAAAGTAGAAAGCACACACCCCATTAATTGTTAATTAGCTTAGTCAGATTCAGGTCCATCTCTACCTGTCGGGGATACATGTGGTATACCAAGCTCCCTGGGGAGTGCCATTTGTGTTTTTAATTCTCTCTCATTTTGCATCTTCATTATGGGGTGACTTCTCTGCCCCCCAGAAATCATGTTTCCCTTCAGGCAGAGATTTTAGAACTCTAAAATCTAAGTGTGGTAGTTCCCTCCTACAGCCAGAGTGACCCCATCTCTCACCAAAATGTCACCTTGATTAATTAATTCAGTGGACACGAGACAGATCCATCTCTGGTCTCTGACTGGTGTCTTCAAGCCCCTGTGAGTAATCGTCCTCTCCACGCCTCCCTCCGCCCCTTCTGTGTGGAGGGCGAGCAAGTGAGCATTCCTCCAGCAGCCTGCCCAGCAAGGGTGGGGCCGCCCCACTGGGAGCATGGAGGGTCTGCCAGGCATGGGGTGGGGGGGTTCCTGCTGGGCACGTGGCACCTGCCAGACACGAGGGAGGGGGATCCTGGCACATGGAGGATCTGCTGGGCCCAGTGGGACCTACCAAGCATGGGGGTTGTGCCACCTGGGCACAGGGGATCCTGCCAGGCACAGAGGGCACCAGCCTGTCCTGCCTGCAATGGAATAAGGCCTCTCACGCACGATGTTCTGGGTGAAGCCCAAAGGAAATATGGCTTTGATAGCAGACCATCTAGACACTTTGTTCCCAGCCCCCAGCAAGGATGCCCCAGCGAAGTGGGGCCCCACTGCCCAGAGAAGCACTAACTGCATCCTCGCCTTCTTGCTTAGGGTCTCCCTGTCACCCGCAGTGGGGAGGGCGCTGACCCCTTGTTTCTCTTTCCCTCGTTGCAGGTGTTTGAGGAGCTGTGGCAGAGTGGTGGGAAGACAGCAGCACAGATTGTCTCTGAGAAGAAGCTGGAGCTGATGCAGGATCAGGAGGCGCTTGCGCAGCTCTGCCTGGATGTCATGGAGGCGCATCCTCAAGTGGTGACTATCCTGTGAGGGTGCAGTAGCCCCTCTCTGACCAGCACAGGGCCAGCAGCTGGCCGAGCCTGAGTGTACAGCCTCAAACCTTCCCACTGTCCTGCTCGGCCAGCCCGGAGCTCTTGCTGCTGGCCTAGCATCATTACTGACTACTGACTACCTAGAGAGAGAGAGAGAGAGAGAGAGCTGCTGGCCTAGCATCATTACTGACTACCGAGAGAGAGAGAGAGAGAGACAGAGAGAGAGAGAGAGTGTGTGTGTGTGTGTGTGTTGAGAAATATTTTAAGATAAGTTCAAAGGAGGTGAAATTAGGCAAAATACCACTTTTTTTTATGCAAGGAAATTCCATGCTGGAGTGGATTCAAGCTCAGTCTGTCCACATCCTCATCTCCCACATCCACCATCTCCCAGGGCACAGTGCAGACTAGTGCAGTTTCCTCAGGCCTCTCCGTGACAGCCCAGCGGCAGGCCTGGCTGCAGAGGAAAGACAGGGAAACCCTTTGGCTTTGTGCCTTCAAGAGGTAGGAAGAAAGGCAGCAAAGAAAATTATTTGTAAATTAGGGAGAAATTCCTTGACAGCAGCATGGCTGAAAACCAAGTCATTTTGTGTCTGAGCAGAGCACAGAATAGGAAAGCTAAAATGAGGAGTATCCCTCTCTCCTTAAATCTAATCATTTTGTCTAGAGTTCTTTTTCAGTAGGGAAGAAATTGCTAGCATCGCTTTCAGAATAATACCCACCCACCCATCAGCTTGCTGGGACACTAACAGCCCGGTGAAGAGCTCTCGATAAGGAAAATGAGCTTGCACCGGGTCTCGGCAATCTCCATCTCCTGCCTCATCTGTAGTGACTGATAAGGACACACGTTTAGTCTCGGGCTCGTTCTGCGGCCCCCGATGCTGATACGCACAGACATAACTGCTGATTGAAGCGTGCTGTGCTGGAGCAGGAGGGGGGTGGGGAATAGGCACGCGTGCTCTGTGGGTTTTTCTTTAAGAATTCAGCGTTGTCATCGTCCCCCCTCCCCAACCCCGGCTGCCCACAGTCCTGTGGAAGAATTTCCATCTGTTAGACTTGTGTTCTTATAAATGGCTGTGTGTCCTCGGGGAAGGTGGGCACCAGCACTGAACTGGAGCAGCGTCTTCCCTCAGCTCAGACTCGATCTCCCATCCAGAGAGGGAATCCCGGTCGAGGGCTGGAGAGTCACTGGTGCCCAGGACGACAGTGCCCTGGTTCCTTGTGCCGGCTTCTCTAGCTGTCGCATTCATCAGGATGTTCATTTTCACCAGAAGGCAGAGCAGCCTAAATCTCCTTTGGCTGGAGGCTGGAAACCTCAGACTTCAGTCCCCTTCCCTTATATCAAGTACTAACAGAAAAGAAACCATTTTCCATAAAATTAACTTATATTTCAGAATATGCATGTATGAATCTGCTGATTTCCTACTCTTACACAATTTCTGTCTTTAAAGGTAATGGTCGTGAAGAATGGAAACCCCAGAGCTATAAACAAACTCATCGGGCTGGTCCGAAAAGCAACTCAGAGCCGAGCTGATCCAACTGTGATAAAGAAGATCCTGGAAGAGAAGCTGTGTTCCTGAGCTGTTCTGGGTCTCTGCCGAGTGGGCGTGAAAGCCGGAGTGGCCAGCACTGGACAGTGGAGCCTGTAAGAGCCAAGATCGGCCTGCTCCTCGTTGCTGGGTCCCTGATGAGGCACAGAGCTGGCTGCCCATCCTGGACCTCGCGTGGCCTGTGCCCCTGGGACGCTGCCTTCACGAGAGACTGGCCCTGTTTGCTTCAACTGACAGAATGATGCAGTGACAGCAGCAGAGGCTAAGAAATAGCAAATTCCGCTATTCATTAATTCTGAACTAAAACGTACCTTTTCAAATACTGTTGTCATTTGTATGAAGAATTGTTGCTCAGTAATTAAGTCAACAAATATTTTTGGGTGGTTATTCTAGGTCCTGGAACTGGCAATGATTCAGAGAGATGGTAATTTAGATGCAGTATTTTTAGAACTAAAAATAGGCTACTGAAGGTGAAAACACAAAATGAATTGGCCCACGGTAAACACCGGTTTGTTCAGAGAGGGCTCCTAAGGGTGGAGGTGAAGGATAGGTGGAGGAGGAGTTAGTCACCCAGCTACCGACCGGTTTAACTCCCTGAGGAACCCAGAAGGCATAGGTCTGAGAATGATTAACAACAACATCAACAACAACAAAAAAACACAAACCACAATAGAATATTTCAAATAAATTTAATGAATAAAATATATACGGAAATATCATAAAAAAATTAACTTACACTTCAAAGATTTGTGCAGTTGGCAACCCACCCACCCTATCCTAGGTCCAAAAAGGGAGAAAAAGAAAAATCCTGTAATGGTAAATTGATTTTATTTTGTCCAGAAAAAGTAGGTATAACCTAGTATATCAAAATCTTGACCTCTAGCCAGAGCCACAGTGGACATGCAGGCCCAGTGTCAGCAGATGCTGGTGTGCGCCTGTCCTCAGGACAGTAATACTAATTTTTGTTGCCCTGACGTGCCCCTCTGTTCACCATGCCGCCTCCTCTGACTCACAGCTCTTCTAGACCAGCTGCAAAAGCTGTTTTCAAAGTGCATGCCACATGAAACGTGGTACAAACAAGAAAGGAGAGCCTTTGAAGACCTTGGTTTCAATCTGCCTTCCCTAGCTCACCAAGGAGAACAGTGAAAACATTTTTGTCTTAAATACTCCAGCAGCAGCAACCCCTCCAACGTAAAATTTAGCAACCAATGGTTTCAGGCAGTTTCTCAGGGCTTTTGAGTGGAGGGACATGTCCCTCTGACTGAGCCAAAAAAGTAGGAAAGGAAGGAAATTGGTGACTTATTTTTTTGGACATGTAAAGAAAAGTAACCTTTGAAAAGAAATTCTTTTCATTAACTGAAAATTATTAGAGAATATGCCCCATTGCCCTAGAAGATATGTGTTCCACATGCTTTTGCAACAGTGGGAGGTATAGGACTAAAAGCAAAAAATTGCCCTTACTAACCCTCTGTGAGAGAGAAAGTTGTTCTGGTGTCTTATTCAAACTAGTCTAAATCTTAAATGGGTTGAGGACTGAGATTGGAATCTGATAGGATCTTGATAATAAGACAGGTGAGTTTTGTTAACAAATGGCGCTTGCACCAAAAGTTTTGACTTCTCGGCCAATTAGATCTTTGAGAAAGCCATTTATACACTATTTTAATTGCCTGCTTAAACAGGGTGCAGCCATAAAAAGTTTACCAAAACTATTATTTCCGTTTACAAAAACTACATAATCTGTATTCGAAATGGTCATTTCCCTGAGAAAAGTTCCATTGTTAAAGACAATCTTTAAAATACTAATTCTTGCCCAGTTTTAACAATTGTGCCTTATCTTGATTTCCAAGTTCTGAAATCTTGAAAACCAGACTTTGTGACTGACAGAACTGCCACTAGGGGGGAGAAGAAGAAGAAAACCACCACTGAAAACAAAACATGACTCAGCTCTCTTACCTGGAGTCTGACTTGGTATTAGAAAGATGTTTATAAAGCATTCTCAGAAAGTCACAAAGTACGGCTCTACTGGGAAGTGGGCCTTAAAACAAAATTTTAAATTTGTTCTTTCAAGAGTGAGAATTTACTCAGGTCCTGTGTTTGCTATTCAGGGGACATCTCATTAAAGTGGATGAGTTGCTGCCACAGGTAAAGCCAATGCCACGTCTCACTGGAATCCTCACACCTGTAGAGAACACCAGGCTCTCAAGGGGAAGTGAATGTGCTGGAAAATGGGATCCCCTGGCTCACTGATCAATTCCACCCCTGCGGGCCCAAACTTTTGGTTCCGTTGCTTGAAAAGGAGGTGGGCTTCAGGGTGTCTTGGCTGGAAAGGCAGCACGGCCAGGCACGGTAGTCAGGAAATGCTCCTTTAATTTACAGAAATAATGAAAAGCCTCTATATGGCCTCTTTTTGGTAAGAGGACCTGGTGTTTCCCACAACTAGGCTTTTAAATTCTGGGCCATTTGGATCTTGGAAAGAGCTAACTTGTCTCTACTGATGTACCCACATCAAAGAGGAATTCTGTTCTTCTCAAGGTCTTGAGTGTCTCAGGAATGGGAACTAATCATTCTATACCAGCCTTTTAGCTGAAGCCTTCCCTTTACCACCTTCTTTTGTGGTTATTAGAAATCTAGAAGGATGCGATTTTTTTCCAAGTATGCCACGGTTGTGTGCACCCTCACTCTCAGCTTTGAGTTCATTAATTCACTATAAAGTTTATGGCCATGAGTCAATTTATTTTGTGTTTTTCCTACTGGATTCAGTTCCATTGTCCCAAGGATCCCATATACAGCTATTTTTAAAACATTTTAAAAACCCTACACATTAAACCTGCCTGAAAGGTCATGCTATTTACCAATAACCAAAAGCAGCACTGAGTGGTCACCGTGCTGCATCAGCAAGCTGCAGACAGATTCATTCACGGCTTATTATGAACAGAGCATCACCAGATTGGGAGATGGAAAGCATTTGATTGAAACCCTCCCTCGATACTTCCTTTGGTCAAACGTTTTAGCAAAACCTATTTAAGATGCTCCACGTCAAGTTCTCTCTTCTAACTGCGGAGCACTTAGGGGCCTGATTACAGGTGAGCACCTTTTGAAGACTTGCCCCATTAAAAAGTCAGCTGACACACAAAGAAGCCCAGGATCCTGCAGCCTCAGCTCCATGAAATTTAGAATCTGACCCAAGTTGCCATCAGCATGTCAGGTTCTGAAATGACACAGTAAATCTAAACTCTCCTCAAGGTGCTGAAATGCATATAAAACACGCAGAGAGTAGTCTGGTTACTTGGGTGACAGTGAGTTAGTTGTACTTACATCTTCTAAGACAGGAACAAAATTCACTGGCCTGAAGGGACAGAAGGATCCAGCCCAGTTTTAGGATTCTGAGTGCAAGGGGTTGGAGAGCTGAAGGGTTGCCCCATGTCATCCTGGTGCTTCTCCCCCCTACAGAACCTTGCTGAAAATCTCTCACTAAAGCCCTGTTGATCCAGTAAATGAGCTGCCAGGATAATCTCTCCTCCAAAACAAGTAATGGCCTAATAAATGCTGAATGTACAGAGGATTTATGGAGGCAGAATTATCCCAGAAACCATCCTGAGTCTTCTGAGAGCTCTTTCTAAAGCATTAGGTTTATGATGGTCATTTAAAAAAATAAAAAGAGAGTAAACGCCATTCTCTTTCTAAAATGTTTCCTCAATGAGATTGTGAGGAAAACTGGTCTGACAGTATTCTATCTTAAGCTGCTGTTTGATGGAGAGTTAGTGTTGTGTGATTTACGGACTGATGGCTGGAACGGAGGGGCTGGGAATATCCTCTTAATGACCAGTGTGGTCTCAGCGACAGGACTGCTATTCCCAGGAAGAGCTAATACTGCAGAGTTGGCTGTGTTCACAGCAAACCACCACATTATGCTGGCCCAGGCCAGTGACTTGGAGTAGCCTGTGCAATGATAGCTGTCCTGCAATGAAATGTTTCATAAAAATAGCAAGCATGGCAGCCATTTCAATAAATACAGGGCTGGTAATGAGCGATTAAAATGAACTGGTTAAATGAGAACTGGAGCGTGCGGGCACTAACAAGCGTAGCCATTTGACATCACAGCAGTGGCCAGTCCCACTTCTGCTAGGGCAGTGCTGCTCCTACACACACTTCCAGGTTCAAAATGAGCAGCCATTCGCAACCCAAACCTGTTCAGATCTGGAAATTCGCCTGCATGACGACTGCAGCCACGCGGTTCCAGGACACCGGAGGGGTAAAGTCAACCATGAACACCAACGCGGCCTAAGTTGAGGAGACAATTCATGCGTTCCATTTCCTGTGTTCTTCTCATAAGAGGATCTTTTCCTGTCACCCTGGCCCAATGATGTGTTAATGAATTATAAACGATCAACTACAGCTAATCTAAAGACATGTCACCTGCCAGGGAAAAGAGATTCCTGAGGATTCTTACGGAATTGAATGCATCCTGCCTACACAACACGGGCGTCAGCTCCACCCCAACATGACCAGACACTTCCCCAAAATAACGCTAAATAAAATGAGGACAAGTTCAATGACCTCTTCAATCAGTTATCCCAGCATTCCCCTTTCTTGGTGCGAGACGGTAATTGATTCCGTAGAATTATGCTTTAGGTCCAACTTGATCTGCATGCAATTTATTTAAAATTTTCAAGAATATTTACTTGACCATTTCAAAAAATTTATTTTAAATCTTCCATTGCTCTCATATACCCTGAACCACAAGATTCACACAGTGTAGAACTGTAAGTTAGACCTTGAATTAGGAGCAGAGTTTAATTTTATGACGTCCAGGGGCTTTGACTACTAACCTTCACCGTCTGGGCCTATTAGGCTGGCCACAGTGATGCCGCCCTCGGGGGCTGCACCCAAAGGTGCATGTCCATTTGCCTCTCTCCTACCTCATCCAACAAGTAATTAAGAAACTAGGCCAGAGCCTAACACGTAGACACGTCCACAATCTTGAACCCTACTTTTAAGCATGCCAACAATCTTTTAAAACTTCCTTTTCACATCAATCATTATAAAACAACAATTTCTAAGAATATTACCTATTTCATTCCAGCCTGGAATAATCTTCCCCATTGACAATGATTTTCTTCCCTCCAAGAAGTTTCTATTATCACCCGCATGCTGTGCAGTATCCTCAAATCTGTCTGAATCAACACTCAATTCCTAAATCTTGGTGGTTTTTCCACAGACATATTCACACTAATTCCCAGACCATCCTTGCCTACCCCAATCTGTAGTGTCACTCAACCACATGACTTTTCCAGTTCTCTTTATTTCCAGGCTAGTTTTCTGACTATAAAACCCTGGAACACAGCACCCTGAGGGACAGCCGAGATGGATTTAGGAACCCGAGCCAGTGCCAGTCCCGAATTCCAAACAGGAGCCTAGAGAGGGCTGTCATATGTGTGTGACACCAATTTCCCCACCATTCCACTGTGTGTGCTATTAAGTCAGAAGCGACTCGTAACTGGGTCTCCTGAGGGTTTTCAGAGGCTGCGAGTCACATGGAAGGTGTGCCATCTTTGTCCAACGGAGCAGCTGGTGGATTTGAACCACCAGCCTTTAGTTTGGCAATGTCTCTCAGACATTGGCCATCTGTGTCCTTTAAAGTGAATCTATTTCAAGATTTATTAAAGGGGAGGAAAAGGCACAAAATCAAATGTGTTCCCTAAAGGGCACTTCCCTCAAAGGGCATAAACCATCGTGCTCTTAACAAAGCAGCATGGCTTCCAGGAGAAGAATTTACAGCCAAGTCGTGAAGAAGAGTTGTAAACAAAACCACACACCTTAAAGGACACCATTTTCAGACAGGACTTTTAACATTTTATGTACTTGGGAAGTTGAAACAGGAAGATAAACATTTGTTCAAACCCAAGTTAAAGGATAATAAATTAGAGCTTAAATTTCATCCTCCACTATTTCTCTGCCTTGAACTACTTTCTAACAGAGAACCGTGGTTGTGCAACGCCAGTGAGGCACTGGGAGGCTGTCTCGGCCTCAGACCCCACAGCCACACCCCAGCAGGGCAAATCATTTTTAAAGACAAATTTGAGTTTAGACATGTTCAGTGAATTGGTATCTTTGGTTTCTTGCTTGAACTCAGGAGCTCTGCTAGGCTGACTCCTAAGAGCTCCCCCAACTCCCATCATGCTCCCCATCTCTTTATCCTGTGATCTGTCTCCTCCTACAACATACAGCCGCCTCAAAATCCCTCAGACACAAGAGGGCTGGCTGTTCCTCAGCTGTTTCTTCCACTCTCCCTCTCCTGGGACACAAGGCCTTCGAGCTCCAGAGAAGGGGCCAGTCTGCCCCGGACCATGGCTACCCGGGGTCTCAGTACTGATGCCCATGCAGGAAGGGTGTAGGGATTCCAATTTAACTAGTGAGCAGAAAGGCTAATCCCTTTCCTTGCTTCTCACATGGAAAACTGGGCCCCAAACAGAGAGGAGTGGAATTTAATACCCATGAATAATCAGTTGTGTATGGCTTCCTTTCCCGCTGGCGGTTGTTTTGTGCTGGCCCTCTTGGTGGTGGTTAAAGGAGACTGTGGCTCTAATTAGGCCTCGTGGAGCAGGCCGAGAAGCAGCAGTGATGCACGGATACATCACATCTGGGCCTTCTAATGAACCCCATTACTCAGCAGGCCGACTTCCCATGTGGTGGTGGGGCGTCGCCAGCAGGCACTTGGCTTCGCAGAGCTCCCTGAGACCTGCTCCTCTGGCTCTCGCAGGAGAGCTGCTTTCCTACAAAGGGCAGCCTGTGACAAAAGCAAGCGGGACTGCAAGTGTGTTTTACAGGTCCCCCCTCTTCACCCCCCACTCCCCAAGGACACTCTGATTAAAGTATATTGCAAGTCAACTGGGTTTTTTTCTTGAAAGGCCTGGAGAGTAATGATGGCTGTCTCCTTACATAAGGAGGTGACACCAGGCCCGCTGCACTGACCAGATTCCTAAGAGAACTATTTGCATAGCTACACTTGATCTTGTACAAATCTTAACTAAAAATAAGGCTATCCTCAGTGTTTAGGTAGTGATACAATGATTAAGGAAAGCTCTCACGTAAGAAGAGAAATGCCCTACATTCCAGAGTCTCACAGACCACCACCTGATTTCCCAGGCAGCGAGTGGAGACCAGAGGATCTACCTGCACCAAAATGCAGAATTTTTCTTGCACCCAAAATGCAGACTTTTCCTGAGGAAAGGTCCAAGGAACGGGTGGCATGTGACGTGAAGGCACACAATTCCTGAACAGCTCCAGCACACAAGGATGGCTGCCCTCCTCGTCCTTGGTCTTCCCGTGCATAACACGGAAGCAGCAGGAGGCCTGTGCAGGCTGCAGACACTGGGACTCCAAGTGCTGAAGAGATGGCCTCACATACGGGGCCCATCCAGAAATCACTCGGCATGATCTGGGCTGCGAGATGAGTGACTGACAGGGATGGAAGGAGAACCCCAAAAAATATAAGGACGGAAGAAAGCCTGCCCAGGGAGCAGTGAGCTTATGAAACTTCCATTAGGCAGAAAGACCCGGCTAAGACAGAGAGGAGATAAGAAGACAGTTTCTCCCTCAAATCAAGTATCGTCAGGAAATATCAAAGTAGAATTTTAAGCAGCTTTGCATTTAACATTCAGTAAAAACACTAAAACCTTATAAAACAATAACCACTATTTTTTAAAAAATAAAACACCAAAAAGCTAACAACAGGAGTCCTCAAAGTCACCCAGGATCTTGTAACACAGAATAGAGTGTTCCTGGGCCAAGGCAGCCAGCTCCTTCAGGAACTCCGGGAACAGGGCAGCGGCCAGCATGGTGTTCCTCACCGGCAGGGGCAGGTTTGGGGGTGCTCCGGACACCTTGACTCTGTTGGTCAGGAAGGGTTGAAGCACTCTTGGGGGACCATCCAAAAGGCTCCCGCCCATTCCTGTCCAGGCAGCATCTGGAATGGGATCTGAAAACAGAAAGAAGAGCTGTAATTGTGGCTGCCATTGCTCTTTACTTCCTTCCACCTTCATTCAAAGGGGGCTGGCATGGGGAAGGTGAGGCGTCCGAGTCAGTCCTGTAAGTGACCTAGCCCGCGGGCACAGATGTGTCCCTGCAGACAACCTCCAGCACCGGGCATGCGGTGTGAAAGGGCCAGGCAAATCCTACATATGGGACTCTGCAGGAACCACTGCAAGAGTGAAGGCTATGCCCGGGATGTGGGGAGGGAAAAGAAATGAGTAAGGCAGCTCCTGCTTCAAGCACCAACCGAGTAAGACACAGCTCACCAGGAGGGTCACTGAGGGGCACCCAGTGGCTCCACCTAGTCTCTCTATCTCCCAGTGCTGGGGTGACCATTCTACTTCTGTTGGTTCAACTCCCATCACATGGCATAACTCTTGGAGGACAATAGGTTAACAAGATACTCTCCCTCTCTCTCATTCTCTCTCTCTCTCCTCTCTCTCCCATTCTCTCTCTCTCTTTCTCTGTCATTCTCTCTCTCCCATTCTCTCTCTCTCTGTCTCTCTCTCCTGCCCTGGGACTCCTCTGGTAAGAGCTTCTAGATTTTATGGAGAAGAAAACAGAATTAATTTAATAACTAATTTGGAAATGTAAAATTTTCAAATACCTGCCCGGAAGCCTTTGAATGGCAGGAGGAATGAACAGGAAGGTGGGTGGGGGTAAATGCAGATTGAGAGCTTTCCAAAACCGTAAGGCTACAGTGACAGCCAATGGCTTGGATGTCTACACTTCAGCAGGATTTTCATCTCAATTTATAGAACATAGGCCTAAAACTGTACGAGCCAATACCTTAACATATTCAAGAGATTTGCATTTTCATATCATAGCCGTTTTAGTAATTAAAATGTTCGACTTCCCTGACTCTGATTCCTGAACATCTCCAGCTCTCATATATTTGTAGAATTATTTATGCCTCATTCTTCCTCTATTCAAACAGTCTTATTAAATCAAACCAGAACCACAGTGATCGATTCTAACTCACAAGAACCTTGTAGGAGGGAGCAGAAACTGAGTCGGGTTTCCAAGGCCGAAATCGTTCTGGAAGCGGACTGCCACAGCTTTCTCCTGCAACAGTCGCTTTTCTCCCCATAAATCATTATATTCAAGTTCTTCATTATTTTGGTTGCTTTTTGGGAATTCAGTTTCATTTTTCAACTCTTCTCAGAGTGGGAAGCTTTAACTACAGGGCTAAAAATTCTTCACGCTTATAAGTACTTTCCACACAGCACTACAACAGTCTTTAGTAGTTGGTTTTGTGGATTTTTTTTAAGATCCTCCATTTTACTGCTTTAAATATCCTACTAAAGTAAAACCATAAAGAACTAGAACAAGTTGAGAATCTGTCTGCTGTTCCCTTCAGCAAAACCCCACAGCATGCCTGACAATGGCGTAAGGACAAGCTTGATGTTTTCCTCACAGATGGTCCCTGTCAGCCCTGGATACCTCTCCGCCCCTACCCCTCTCCCCTTACTTGATGCTGTCCTCACAGACAGTCCTGGTCAGCCCTGGATACCTCTCCAACACTTCCCCACTCACTCACACTTGATGCTGTGCTCACAGACAGTCCTGGTCAGCCCTGGTTACCTCTCCACCCCTACCCCACGCGCCCACACTTGATGCTGTCCTCACAGACAGTCCTGGTCAGCCCTGGATACCTCTCCGCCCCTTCCCCACTCTGCCACAGCTCCCTAAGCAGCTCCCTAAGGACTCCAGCAGAGCTCACAAAGGAAGCTGATTCGACTACAGTGGGCAATGGCCAAGTGCTTAGCTGAGCTGTTAACCAGCAACGTGGTGAGTCAAATTCACCAGCCACACCTTGGAAGAAAGGTGTAGCAGCTTCCATAACCATTCACAGCCTTGGAAGCCCTATGAGCGGTACTACTCTATCTGTTGTTGTTAGGTGCTGTTGAGTCGAGTAAGATTCACAGTTCATATGAACAATGGGTCTGAACCCTGTCTTATCTTGTGCCGCCATCATCATCATCATCATCATCATCATCTCTGACACACTTGAACCCATTGTTGTAGTCACTGTGTCAGTCTATCTCACTGAGAGTCATATTCTCCTTTACTGACTCTACATTTCCAAGCATGACGTCTTTTCCCAAAGACTGACCCGTCCATGTCTAAAGTATGTGAGAGGACATCTCACCATTCTCGCCTCTACGGAGCACTCTGGTTGCATTTTCTCCAAAACATACCTGTTTGTTCTTTTGGTGGTCCATGAGATATTTAAGCTATGTACCAGAATCAATTGGGTGACAATGGGTTTGCTTTTTGAGTTTGAAAGTGAGATTCTCCAGTGCACTAATACCAGACTAAGACCTGCTACTGTTTATGCCATTGTCAGAAGAAGAATCGATGCCTTTGCATTCTGGTGCTGGAGAATATCGAACATACCATGGACTGCCAAGCGAAGGTGGGGGGGGGGGTGGTGTCTTCCCTGGAGAGAGTGAAAACAGGTTGCTACTTGATGGCAAGGATTTTAAAAATGTGGTTCACATACTTTGGACATGTTGCCAGGAGGGACAAGTCCTTGGAGAAGGACACCATGCTTGGAAGGGTGGAGGGCCAGTACAGAAGAGGAAGACCCTGGATGAGATGGATTGATATAGTGGCCGGGGCAATGGGGGCAGGTGTGTCAGAGACGCTAAAGTTGGCTCTGGATATGACAAGGTTCATGTAGAACCATTGTACTTAGGGACATAATGAATTACCGTCAACTCAATGCCACATAACAACAACAACAACAATGTTTCCTGTGCTGGTTTGTCCACCTGGAATTGATTCACTCATGTATCTTACCAGCCCAAGAGGCCTGGGAACATGAACTGCCACTTATTGGCTGAATGACCTGAGATATCTCGCTTTACTTTTGTATACTCCAATTTCCTCCTCTGTCAAAAGCTCACAGGCTATTGTAAGGATTTAAAGCCAGTAAGTACACAGTGACTCTCGATAAGTGTCAACCATCACCACCATCATTAATTCAATTGCTACTTACCTCACTAGCATTTTCTGTTCCCTGCCCCTAAAAAATGATTTCCTGTTCTAATCTCCCACCCCATTTGACCTGGACCTATTAAGGCCAGCAATGCCCCGCAGCCTTGCAGTTACTTCTATTTTATCTCCTTAATTATACTTTCAACTTTTGGAGCAAGGAGTCTCTACCCAACGATGTGTCCTTCCCATCCCTAAAAGTTTCTGCTGTCACTAATAAACATATAGAATGAGTGAGCAACAGAACCACACACATTAGGTCCCCCCGCTTCCCTCATCCTTACTGGACCTCACTCATTGTCATCATTCTTCTTTCTCTTCCAAATTTATTCCTTGTCTTCTTCCCAAAAAAAGTTTTTAGGGGTTCATTTATTTTGCTTTAATCCATGGATTTAAAAATTTTAGCAGTAAAACTCACTGACCAAGCTTGAGTCCAAGAATTAAACTCCTATCCACTAAGGTAAGCAGCTCTGGTGGTATAGTCTGTAGAGAGTCACAAAGCTGAGTGAAAGGCCATACCTTTCTCGTGGTTCAAATCCACCAGCCACTCTGCAGGAAAAAGATGAGAAATCTCCTCCCATGCTATTTACAGCCTCAGAAACTCTATGAGTCAGTTCTGACTCAACAACGACAAGGTGGGAATTGAAGGTAGGAGAAGCCCTGGGGAATGAGACCAAGTCTCTAGGAGTTAATGTTTGAGCGGCTGTGTCAGCAAGTGGGGCCCAGAGACTCGAGCTCATGTCCAGAACGTGGGATTTCCACTGTGTCACAAAGTCACAAGAAGAGCTCAAGTCAAAGGTAAAGAGACCAAGTCATTCTCCGTGTTGACAACCAGCTTATACTGTATCTTTTCGGTCTCCTCTCTAACATATGCTTAATGATTGACTCTTTTCCAGAGTCAGAAGTCACTCTGAATAAAAATATAAATGTTACTCCATGGACTACAAGGCATTTGAGGAGGAAAATGAAAGCTGACAAATGGCTGAAGCTCTGAGGCTGAGAGACTCAAGAAAGAGGATGTGGCAGCTAGCAAAAGAAGTCCCCTGGCCTGGAGTATTGGTGACACTTTTTTACTGGGGACGCCCAGAAGGCAGAGGGACTGTGGAGGCTGCATCACGGAACAGTGTGGTTGCAGGCAGCCGAGCTGCTGTTCTGTGCTCTCAAGTCCCTCCCACTCACAGCACCTTCCATTCTCATTTCTGCCCTTTGCTTTATCTTGTCTAAGCTCAAGAGGAAGTCTCAAAGTCTCTTCTGACACATATTATGCTCTTTTCTTTCCTTTGTGTGTTTTTAAACAACTTTTTTTTCTCTTTTTCTTTACATCCTTGACTCATTACACTCATCTGACATCAATTCATCTCTCTGGTCATTGGACCTTGGTGTTCAATGCAGTGTTCAAGGGCCTGCTGTTTCCAAAGTGGATGGCTAGTCCTGCTTCTCAGTCTGTATTAATACAGAAGCTCTGCTGACACTTGCCCCTCCTGAGTGACCCTGCTGGGATTTGAAATACCAGTGGGAGAGCTTGTAGCATCACAGCAACATGTAAACCACTACAACCCGGCAAACTGACAGAAGAGTGGTGGCTTGATGCACCTGAGTTACAGCCTCCTAACAGGGCTTAACCAGCATCTGAAGAAAAGGGTTGGGAGGAGGACTATAAATAAATGTAGCAATCAGGTTTTTGTTAATGTTGGAATAATTCCTTTATGTTGAAATGTAAGAATGAATGTAAAAATCAGGTTTAAGAAATGTTGCTCTGGCCCTGAAAAACTGCAGCAGGGAGTTTCCAAGGCTTAAACTAAGAAAATTTCCAGTTAGGAGAGAAATACATTATGTGATCATCACCTTGTCCCCAGTGTTAAGCTGAGGAGCTTCAGGTCTTTTGTTGATAGGGTTGCTATGAGTCGTTCTCGACTCAAAGGCAATCAAAAACAACAACAACAACAGTGAGATTCTTAATCGTAAAATTTCTCCATATCCAGGGAGAAGAGGACTCCCAAATTTGAGTCATTTACAGCAATTACATCATTGTTAGCAAAGCAGAAGTAAGTTTTGTACAGGTGGACAGAGACCTTTCTCATTCTATGACTGAAGATTTTTAAAGTTAGAGGGAGGGACAACTTTGCTAAACTGTAGGGGGGAGTGAAAAAATGAATCTGAGAAACTCTATTAAAAGGAAAGTCTTCTAACTTAAGAGATGCACTCTACAAATCAAAGTGACCTCAAAATCACTGACCATAGCTTACTACTCTGACGAGTGCAGGAGTTGGTAAAAATCTCCCCTGGGCACATCTCTGCAAACCCGGCAGTCAGCTTGAAGCTGGGCAAAGCAGGAGCTCTGAGCAAGCCCCTCCCATCCTATCACCCCTGTCCCGAGGGTGTTGCCTAGGTACCTGGGTTGGGGGGTGTCTGAGCCTATGTGTCTGTGTGAGCTCACTTGCTCATCTCCACCAAACAGGCAAGCCCATCTCACGCTCCTTGAGCTTCAGGATCTTGCCTCCCTACCGTGGGCTTCCAGCTCCATTTTCCTCCTTCAAAAAAGGAAGCAAGCAGTACGTTTCTATGTATTTCATACTGTTGTTTCGAAACTGATTAATTGGGAAAAGACTTTACAAACTATGAAACACAAATGTAGAGCAAGCTTCCTTTTTATGTTACCAATTCCAGCTGACTCCACCTTTCCCTCCTGCTCTGGGAGGGTCCCTGTGACCCTCTGTGCTGAATAAAGGCACTGTCAGGAATTTTGGGCTGAACATAAACTTCACTTCTCCCAGACTAACCAAGCACTTTTTACCTCCTGGAGCCCTAAAGCATGTTTACTTTGAGCCCAAGAACCTCTACAAACATAATAAAGAGAACAGATGTCCTCCTCAGGGATGGGCTGCCAAAAAGATGGCTTGGATGTCCACAGAATGCCACTTTCAAGCTGGGTTATTGACTTCTGATCTGACAATAGCCCACATATCAGTCTCTTCCCTTGAACCTCTCTAAGGAAAATAAATGCCCCCTAGATCCTTCAGAGTGGGAACAAATCAGATGAGGTCAGGAATGGGCAGTTCTCCAGACCTCGGCCTTAGACTGAAGAACACTAATAGGAGATACTGCCTGCTGACTAAAAATGAAAATACCTTTAGATGTCTAGGCACTGGGGTAGTATTTGTGAACCTGCACAGGATACCCAGCCAGGAGGCCAGGAAAATACAGGAGAAGCTATTTAAGGAGCGACACAGTAGAAAGACCTCGGTTACCTTTGGTTAATGACTCAGGAGCCATGTCACACATGTCCACTCGGAAGAGCAAGTATTGCTGGGCTTGAATGAGGAGTCCTGGGAAATCTCTCTCCACAGAAGCAAACTGTTCAATTTTGTTTTTCACAGATGCAAGGACCTGTCAAATCCAACATTAATGATGTTAATTTTTCCCATTGGGTATCCCATGTACCTTATAGGTACACCCTCATTGTGGGAACTATTAGGAAACTAGGCATTTGCTTACTTTTTAACTGCCTGGGTGTTCTTGGTAGGACACTCTAGAAACAGCAAAGGAAATGTAGCTTTGCAGTTTATTTAGAATAATATTCACCATGAGCTTAAGAGGACAGGGAAGGAAAGGTCATGGATTAGAATGGCGGGACTTAAAAAGCAATAATAGACAGGGGAAGAAGGCAGGCCAGCCCCCAGAAAGTCTACAGGCTGGGAGCTGGCGGGGCTCACGTACCTGATAGAGAGAGCGCACACTGGGCTGGAAGACCATGTTGGTGTTGAGCAGGAATGAGCGCAGGAGCGGCTGGGGGTAGCTGGCCAGCTGAGTGATGATCCCAATAAGCAGCAAATTAACATGCAAAGAGTTCTCCAGCATGTTCTCCAGCTTTGATAGGACCACGCTGATGAAGGGGCCTGCAGAAGGAACGCATACAGGGTGTCAGGACTGGCTGGCACACAGGGACATCTCCCTTCAACAACTAAGGAGCCACCACAACCGCCGTCCAAAGGACTGCAGGCCATGAGACTAGACACTCACATGAAGGCAGGGAGCAGGGCATGGGCGCTTCAGTGGTTGAATTCCCCAAAACAGCTAGGTCTTCTCTTGCCTCAAAGTGAAAATATACCACCCCCCACAGAAAGCAAGCACAGCAAAGGATTGAGAGCTAATATTTGGATTCCACAAAAAGTTTTAATACTATGAAAAAATAACAGACTTGGGGGGAAAAAGCATACTACAATTAATTTAATGTTTACACATTAAAATATATCTCTCCATGCTGTTTCTGCAGATCTAGGAACTGCCAACTCTCAAAAACATGGCACGTGTCATTTCACAATGCTGTGTGTCAAGGGGTTTTATACACACGTTCACATTGATGCTGGGTTGGATTCCACTAAGAGAGACACTGTAGGTCAGAGGAGAACTACCCCAAATGGTTTGCAACGCTATGATCTTCATGGAGGCAGAGCGGCTTATCCTTTACCTGTGGAAAGGTTCATGAGTTCAACCAACCAACCATGGGTACTGTAGAGGGCTTTACCATTGCAACACCAGGGTTCCATATACAAACACTGTTGTTGCTGTTGTTGAATCAACCATGATACACGGACAACAGATCTGAACCCTGCCTTATCTGGCATCATCCTCTCCGTTCCTGTAATATCCGAGCCCAGTCAATGTGTTGATCCATCTGCTTGAGAGTCTTCCTCTCTTTTCCTAATCCTCCACCTTTCCTAGCGTGATGTCTTTTTCCAAGGACTGGACCCTCCTAACAACATAATCAAAGAATGTGAGGTGATGTTTCAAACAATAGGGAGCTCTAGTGGCCTAATGATAAGAAACACTGTTATGTTTTTGTTATGTGCCGTTGAGTCACTTGTGACTCTATGTACAGCAGCTCTGAAGCCTGCCCTGTCCTGAGCCAGTCTCACTAATTCAAACACACCAACCCCTGTTGCCCCAGATACTGTATCAATCCATCTCATCCTGGGTCTTCCTGTCCTGCGCTCTCCCTCCACCCTTCCAAGCATGATGTCCTTCTCCAAGGATCAGTCAGTCACATTAGAGCATGTTAGAAGTTTTAGCCACACAAAAATCTGTTATAAAAGACTGCCAAACACATACAACCATGCTCCTTTGCTTTCTTCAGACAACTGCTTCTTGGTCTGTGGAGAGGTTTTGCATGAGCACAATTAACTGGTCTGGGATTTCCACGTGTCCTAATAGTATCTATAATTTGTTATGAGTTATACAAACACCTAAGCACTAGAATGTAAAGTCGAGACAAAAAATTGAAACACTAATGTAAGAGAGCTGATCAGTAGATTCAAAGGGTAGCTTGAGAAAACAAAGATATTATAATGAAACAGGCAAAGAGCTGCAGTTAGAAAACCAAAAGGAAAGAGCAGATGTCAAAAAGAAATGGAAACTCCAAACGAGGCATGCAGAGAATGCCCCTCGGGACCTCAGAGCACCGGAAGGGCATCATGCCGTCGGTCAGTCTTCATCTCTTTAGCTCCAGTTTCCTCTTTGCATCGGAAGAAGAGCTCCTCCGTCACACTCAACAACACACACAGGTGGTCAACAAAATCTTCAACTCGAGAGCCCTTGAAAAAGTTTACAAAACTGGCAGAGTTCACCAAACAGACTCCCAGACCTCAGACTCATTCAGGTTTGGGAACAGTCTGGCGGGAACGAACAATTCTCCCATGAGGCACTGCAGAGTTGTCCGTGGAACCTCTCGGGCAGCACAATGTCCCCCAGCTCTCCAGGTATCTGCTCAGTGAGAGCCTACTTCCCTCACCCTCCTCAACCTGGACTTACCCTTCCCTACCTCCTCTCATCCAGAGCCTTCCTGGCTCTGCATCTGTTTTCCAGGGCAAAGCCAGGTGAACAAAAACATATTTAGGTAGGCAGAGTCTTTTGTAAAACTTAATATCCCAAATATGATCCCTAAACTGCCCTCCTACTTCCACTGCCCTAAGACCAAACCTGTCCTTGCCTATAAAATCACAGGGGTAGGAAGGACATCTGCCATCCATAACCGCTATAAAAAGAAGGAGGCAGGAAGCTTGAACTCTTCACCCTACGGCAGTAGAATGAAAACACACTTTCTCAATAGAGTATCAGAATAAGGTCAAATCAGCAGATTGCCATTATAACCACTGTTGTTGTTTGCTGTTGACCCTCCAGTGGGTTTCAGAAGCGGTAAATCACATAGGAGGAGACTGCACATCCTTTTCCCACAGAGAAGCTGGTGGAGTTTGAACTACATGCCTTTGGGATTACAACACAGCTTTTTACCACTTAGCTCCCACAGTTCCCGCTGTAATCTGTTAAAGGCATTACTTAAAATTTACTAGGTGTGTACAATAAAAACACTTTCATATTCCTATTTTCTTAATTTGTTTCTATTAAAGACAAGACAAGACAAACCCCCGTAACAGTCATCACGTGGAGGCTGTAGATCTGAAGGAGATGAGACTGCCCATCTCTCTCCTGTGGGGCCACTCAGTGGATTTGAACACTCAAAGCAGAGATACCTTCTGGATAACAGCACAATATGCTGTGGACAGCATGACCAGAGCTCTTTTTGCTTGTAGCATTGAAAAAAATAGTTGCATAGCAAAAAGCAATTGCATAGGGACGTGGCAAGCGGACAAAATTCAGCTACTATTCCAAATGCCACAGATATTTTATGAGAGATATGTTGTTGTTAGGTGTCACTGAGTTGACTATGATTCATAGCAATCCTATGAACAACAGACCCGGACCCTGCCCTATCCTGTACCATCCTCACTACCTATATACTGGAGCCTATTTTAATAGTCACAGTGTCAGTCTATATTGTTAAAGGTCTTCCTCAGTATTTTCAGTTGCTTCCTATACTAATACTTCCTATACTCCAAAGTGCTAAAGAGCAATGTTGTCAGTCCAGAGACTAAGGTGTGCCTGATTCAGGCAACTGTCTTTGCCATTACTTGCTATGCATCAGAGAGCTTGATAAGGAATAAAGTCAACAGAAGAATAATTAATGCCTTGTGATACTGGAGAAGAGTACTGAACACACTATGGACTGAAAAAAGAACAAACAGGTCTGTCCTGGAGAGGGTGAAACCAGGCTGCTCTTTGGAGGCAAGCATTTTGAAGCTTTGTCTGACATACATAGAGCACATGGCCAAGAGGGACTGGTCCTTGCAGAAGGACAACATGCTTGGAAGGGTGAAGGGACAGCATAGGAGAGGAAGACCCAGAATGAGATGGATTGGCACAGTAACTGGGAAATAGGGTAGGTATACTGGAGACAATGAGACTGGCGCAGGATAGTGCAGGGTTTAGAGCTACTGCACATAGGACCGCTGTGAGGTGCAGGTGACAGGAAGACATAACAAAAATAAAAATGTCTGGAAGTTGGATAATAAATAAGGTCCTAGGAGGGCAGATAAACTCTCCATCCAAGTGAAAATTCATAGAGATAGAATTATCTTTTCCTATTCTCCACCTCTCCAGTCCCGCTCTCCACCTCTGCCGAGTCCATCTTATTTCAATAACAGGGCTCTTACGAAGTATTTTTCCTTTTGTGATGAGATATTTCATTAAAGGTAATGTCTTCCAGACTCATCCATGTCATTTAGTGTTTTAAAAGGTAATTGTTTTTCAAGTCTGTATAATATTTTATTGTATGAATTCTCTCTACCACCCCATCTCCCTTTGTCATTCACTTCTCTCCCCTCAAAAAACCCCAGTCTTTGCCTCAGCTGGCTGGGCCCCTTCTCCTCACTCATTGCTCCTGGACCTCAGCTCTGTTCATTCTACGCTGCAAGTTTCTCTGACTGGAGACCTTCAACCACACCTTCCCTCTCACCACTTCCTGGGGCCAGAGTTTCACCATTCTTATTTGGACATTTATTTTAATCGAGACAAAAATTTTCTTTTTGAACACTATGTCGTTGTTGTTATGTGCTGTTGAGTCGACTACAACTCATACCGACCCTAGAACAACAGCTGTGGACCCTGCCCCATCCCCAGCCAGTATAAAAACCATGGAACACTTCACGAATTTGCATGTCATCCTTGCGGAGGGGCCAGGCTAATCTACTCTGTATATGTCCAATTACAGTACATGTGCTGCCAGAGTGAGCACATGTTCAGTTAGAACACAAACCTTCTCCCTAGAGACAACAGGTTCCAGCACATTCCACCAGAGATGCTATGTACTTAGTACATGCCATGGACTCCTTACACATCAACACAGTCAATACTAACAACTGGTAGTTACCTCTATAACTTATGTTATATTACTTATCTCCATGTAAAGATGGAGTAGAATGATAAGTGAACATTGTTGTTATGTACCATCAAGTAGCCTGCAACTCATAGTGACCCAATGGACAACAGCCCTAAACCCTGTCCAATCCCTTGCCAATCTCACTGTCTCTGACACACTTACCCCATTACATCAGTCGCTGAATCAATCCATCTCATCAATGGTCTTCCCCTCCTGTACTGTCCCTTCACCCTCCCAAGCATGATGTCCCTCTCCAAGGATCGGTTCCCCCTTATAACATGTTCAAAGTATATCAGATGAAGCCTCAGAATCCTTGCCTACAAGGAGCAGCCTGGTTTAACTCTCTCCAAGATGAACCTGTTCATTCTCTTAGCAATACACAGTATATTCAATACTCTTATCCAACACCACAGCACAAAGGCATCGATTCACCTTCTATCATCGCTAGTCATTGTCCATCTCTCTGATGCATAGCAAGTGATTGCAAAGATCATGGCCTGTATCAGGCACACCTTGGTCTCCAGACTGACATCACTGCTCTTCAGTACTCTGGAAAGGTCTCTGACAATAGACTTTCCCAATGCAATACATCTTTTAATTCCCTGGTTGGTGGTACCAAGAGTA